AACAAAAGACCCCAAATAGCTAAAGCAATCCTGAGAAAAAAGAACAAAGCTGGAGGCAGCACAATCCCTGACTTCAAAACATACTACAAAGCTATGACAATCAAAACAGCATGGTACTGGTACAAAAACAGACACAGAGATCAATGGAACAGAATTGAAAGTCCAGAAATAAAACCACACATTTATGGACAGCTAATCTTCGACAAATGAGCTAAGAACATACAATGGAGAACGGAAAATCTCTTCAATAAATGGTGCTGAGAAAACTGGACAGCCACATGCAAAAGAATGAAAGTAGACCATTATCTTTTGCCATACACAAAAATTAACTCAAAATGGATCAAAGACTTGAAAGTAAGACCTCAAACTACAACACTCCTAGAAGAAAATATAGTCAGAACACTCTTTGACGTCAGTCTTCGAGGGATCTTTTCGAATTCCTTGCCTACTCGGATAAGGGAAACGAAAGAAAAAATAAATAAGTGGGACTTCATCAGACTAAAGAGCTTCTGCAAGGCAAAGGAAACCAGGATCAAAATGAAAAGAGAACCCACCAGCCGGGCGAAAATATTTGCAAAGCATTTATCCAACAAGGGGTTAATCTCCATAATATATAAAGAACTCACAAAACTCAACAACAAAAAAACAAATAACTCCATCAAAAAAATGGGCAGAGGATATGAACAGATATTTTTCCAAGGAAGATATACCGATGGCCCATAGGCATATGAAAAGATGTTCAACATCACTAATCATCAGGGAAATGCAAATCAAAACTACACTAAGATATCACCTTACACCCTTGAGAATGGCTATAATCACCAAGACAAAAAAATAACAAATGTTGGAGAGGGTGTGGAGAAAAGGGAACCCTCATTCACTGCTGGTGGGACTGCAAACTGGCGCAGCCTCTACGGAAAACAGTATGGAGATTCCTCAAAAAATTAAAAATAGAAATACTTTATGATCCAGCTACCCCACTTCTGGGTATTTATCCAAAGAACTTGAAATCAACAATCCAAAGAGGCTTATGCACCCCTAGGTTCACTGCAGCATTATTCACTATAGCCAAGACATGGAAGCAAAACAAGTGTTCATCAACAAATGATTGGATAAAGAAGATGTGGTATTTACATATACACAATGGAATACTACTCAGCTATATAAAAAAAAAAAAAAAGACAAAATCGTCCCATTTGCAACAACATGGATGGACCTGGAGGGTATTATGTTAAGTGAAATAAGCCAGACAGAGAAAGACAAACAGTGTATGACCTCACTCATATGTGGAATATAAACTAACACATGGACAGAGAGAACAGTTTGATGTTTACCAGGGGGAAGGGAGTTGCGGGGGGGTGGGCACAAGGGGTGAAGAGCCACATTTATATGGTGACTGACAGATAACAATGTACAACTGGAATCTCACAATGTTATAACCTATTATGACATCAATAAAAAGAGTTTAAAGCAGAGACTCAAACAGATATTTATTTGTACACCCATGTTCATAGCAGCATTATTTACAACATCCAAAATGTGGAAACAACCCAAGTGTCCATGGACAGATAAATGGATAAAGAAAATAGGGTATATCCATACATTAGAATAATATTCAGCCTTTAAAAAGAAAGAAATTCTGACATATGCTACAACATGGATGAACCTTGAAGACATTATGCTAAGAGAAATAAGCTCGTCACCAAAGGACAAATACTGTATGATTCCACTTATAAGAGGTATGTCGAATAGTCAAATTCAGAGACAGAAAGAATAATGGTGGTTTCCGAGGGCTGGGGAAAGGGGAATGGGCAGTTATTGTTCAATGGGTACAGAGATTCAGTTTGGGAAGATGAAAAAAGTTCTGGAGTTGGATAGCGATGATGGTTGCACAATAGGAATGTCATGCCACTGAACTGTACACTTAAAACTGGTTAAGAGGGTAAATTTTATGTTCTGTATATTTTACCACTATATGTATATATATAAGAAAATTAATCGCCCATTCAGCTTTCAACTCACTGAATTATCCTACTCCTCAATTTACCCTGCACTTGTCTCAAATTCAAACTTTTAATGGATTTTTCAGAAGCTTGAAAAAAGTAACAGCACTTTCTCAATATTGAGATCTAAATTTACTTACCTATTCTGGATTCCTGTAGAATCCAATTTTAGATCAAAGAAAATGGCACCTATAACCAGTCCCAGGATGATTGTTACAATTATCTTTTTGAAAAGAAAAAAAAGTTTCAATTAAAGGCAAAAACTTAACACACCATTTATTATTATAATATATATGGCTACATCATCAAGTCTCTCCATTGAGATCCTTTAAATGGCTTGGCCAAAGTCCTTGGGAGAATATAAAACAGTGTATGTTATTAGACTGCTCTCTAAATTAAAACAGAAAATAATTAATCTGAGTGTTGGGGAGACTGACAGGAGAACAACGTAGACTACTGGAAAAGTAAGACTCCTGTCAGCGCCCCCCAGGACCACCAGCTTAGGGTCCAGGTCAGGCCACTGGGCCTGCAAATGTCATCTAGAGCAGCAGAACCACACAAGCGCCCAGCAACGTGGTTTGGGGAATAAAATTAAGTGGCCTGAACTCTCAACCTTTGTGCTGGTGAACACGCACTGTTTCATATTTCAAGAGGTTCAAGTAAAAACAGGATGTCTTTATTCTTAACATTAAAAATAAATTAAATTTTTAAAACACACATTAAAAAATTCTAACAATGGAATTTTGCACATTAAGGAAGTAGGGGTATGCTGGGGCCCGTCTATCTGACCCGGGTGGGGAGCCCATGCCTGCACTGGAAAAGTGCATTGTCACCGTCACCAAAGCATTCAGCCAACTTTCTCTGCAGGCACCCAAGTGCTTCTGTTACCCTTTCTGCTGTCACTGCTTCTCTAGCAACCTCAGCCCATAGGGCCTACAGCCAACAGCGCAGAGCCAAGTTGCCAATTCTTTGCCACTCTCTCCTACTTCCACTTACTCAGTATGTTCGATGACTCCTAAGAAGACTGGAAAAACATCACTTTTGCTTTTAAGATTGATAAAATGTCTCTTAAGGACACTTCTATAAGAGAAGGGTTAACGGTTATATTATGATATAATTATTTAAGGAAATTCCACTTACTGTACTTTTAGGTTGTACTAAGTATAAAAATATAAGAAATGGTAATCTAAAGAAAACAAAATATCCCACCATGTACCTTAGAACCTTCAAAGTTCAAAATAAAAAAAAAGTCTTAGCACTACAACAGTACCATGGCATCAAGACTTGAAGTAACCTGTCAAGCACACTTTTGGCATGAAGCAAACCAAACCAGAAAACAGGATTAGGCTCTGTGAAGCCCATAGTCTGAAAAGACTATGATTTGAGACATCCTTAAAAATTCCCTTGCCATTCATGTCGACAAAACAAGCTTGCAAAATAAATAATGATGATTCCATCAACATGTGTGCATGCACATGTATACAAGCCTACACTTTTACTCAGCGTAACTTTAAGCATATTCAGACTTCTTAAACTGGCTACTCCACATGCTTTGTTTCTCTTGCATTCAAACTTGGTATCTTACACTAACAGACTGTCGGTATTATCATTAGCTTGTTTCCTAAAAGTTTCAAAGTTCTAAAAGTACTTTCAAAGTTAGCTTTCAAACACATTGACAAAATGACTAATCCTGTAATTTTGTCATGCTTTTACAAGGTGTGTCTATGTTATTCTTTCTTGTATTAAGGAAAAGCAAAACAGGCAAACTAAATGTTGCTCAAGTAGCAGGCAAAGAGATTTTATCTATGAGTTCTGTGCCTCTGGCCTCTGTTTTGAACAGAAGGAAAAAAAAGAAATTCCCTAATATGTTATTCTGTCTTCGTTCAAATGTGTTTATCAACATTTCTCAAGGTGAGTTCTGAGAGATGTTTAAGGCCGTCATTAAAAAAACTAATACATAGTCAAACATTAAATATGCTAATGTAACAATGAATCGTCAAGAGATATGATAGTGTTTTCCAAATTGATTTGATCAGAACACACTTGGCCGATTAAATGAGCATTAAATCTTCTTCTACAGATAATCCATTCATTCCAAATACCTTTGGTTAAATGCATTACCAGAAGCAAAATCTGAGTCATGTCAATGACTAAGTATGGCTGCAATACTACTGATACAAGATTATCAGTAGGAAACCATAAAACATTTTCATAGCTCCACGTTCAAATACTTAGAGAATAAATGATATTCGTGTAAGATTAAAAACTCTAAACCAGAGGTAAGCAAGCTATGGCACACAGGCCAAACAGGGCCCATCGCCCATTTCTGTTCGGCCCACAAGTTCAGAACAGTTTTTACCATTTTTTTAATGGTTGAAAAAGAAGAGAGAAGAATAATATTTCCTGCCATTTGAAATGTATATGAAATTCAAATTTCAGTGTCCATGAAGTTTTACTGGAACACAGCCATGTTCATTTGTTTATGTATTATCTATGGCTGCTTTCTCACTAAATGGCAGAGTTGACTACCTAAGACAAAGACCACATGGCCTGCAAAGCCTAACGTATTTATTATCTGGCCCTTTACAAAAAAGGCGTGCCTACTCCTGTCCTAAGTTAACACTCCAGTATTTACAAATCTGAAGAAGAGTTGCCCCCTCCAAGCAGATGCACAGTTCTGTCCTTATTCCATGAGATTGCCACAGCTCTGAACACTGTTGGGATTCCTTTTGTGGAACTGAGTTCACTAAGGAGGCACGTAGGCTTGAACATGCAACCTAGAGGCACTAGGCCTGGAGTTTGCATCTGAAGGAAGCCTAGCACCAAAAGACGCAGAATCGTGGTGTATTAGAAATAGCTCCACATTCTAATCATGCCCCGCCCAGAACTACCATGTGATTGGACAAGACACTTAAAAACCACTACTAATGGCAAGAGAAATTGTTATTATTTTCCAAGTACAAAAAAATCTAATGCACAAATCACACTCAAGAATCAACTCCATTACATCAACTCAATATTGAATACCGGGTAACCAGGTTGACCTCATTCACTAGACTTGTTTTCAAACGACATCAAATCCACTGTAAGAATAAAAATTTACCCTTGTTTGATCATACACAAAAGTGCTCATGTTCTGATAAAAATGTCAAATAACAAGTACCAAAAATGTTTGGAGCAATTAGCAGTATGGCTCAAAGAGGGATATAGGCTCTCAGTAATAATACTTAAAAGGCAACAGTACTGAAGAATGAAAATTATGGTGCATGTGGTATGAAGTCAATAATATTTCATTAGAGTGAACAACACGTCACCTTTTAGTACTCAAGAGAAATTCAATGATTGATAACAAAATGAACAACTCCAAAAATAACTGGCTAAATTGATTTCCTTAGAAAGGATGGCCTAATGAGCTGGTAGGGTTTTGTATGACAGAGTGCTTGAGAATAACAGAAAAACCATAAAGAAGTAATAATCAACAACTATCAACAGAGCTAGCCAAAAGATGACAAGAACACGATTCCATCCTAATCAAAAGTTAATCTGACAATGAATAGCCTTATTTAATGGAAGTCGAGTTTGCTTACTACCTTTGTGTTAACTGCAAACTGTTTTTGGTATCTAGCACTCTCCTAAGATTAAAGTCTCTAAATGAGGAAGGTCAGTTATAAGGACCGGCATTTGCACACAGGTTCTTCCTCCTCAGACAGCAGCCAGCCCCCCATCCCACCCTCAGGTGCATCACCTGTGGTCTAGGTGAAGGCTCCCCCGACCTCTTGATTTAAAATGCAAACTAACCCCTTTTCCCTCTCTCCGTCTTTCCCCCTCTCTTTTTCTTTCTTCCTTCTCTCTCCCTTTCTCCACTTCTCTCCTTAAACTTTCTCCATAGCCACTTTTATCGTCTGACATGCTATATATTTTATTTCTGTATGAATTTATCGTCTCTCTCTCCTCATAAGAAAATAAGCTCCATAGAGCAGAGATTTTCATTTTTGCCCATTTTGTTCACTGCTGTATACAAGCTCCCAAATGCAGCACATATTCAATAAGAACTTGTTAAATGAATCAGTAAAGGAACGTGGACAGCTAACAAAAAACCCCAAACGTAGCTAAACATTTCCTTTACCTCACAATTTTTTTTAAAAAATTTTCTACAAAGATTATCCATTACAGTTTGTCTAAATCAACAAAAATTCTGAATTATGTAGTCCAAAAAACCACTAAAAAAAAGTTTTCCATAAGTAAAAACTTAATCGTGTTTTAGTTGTTCTATTGACTATTTCTATATCCCAAACGGAGTGGGGATAAAATCAGTGGAAGGGTGGATGGAAGATAAGCATAATCCTAAAATAAATTCTATCAGAACCCAATGTTCTCCCATGAGTATTTCACAGCATAATTAGAAGAATCTGTCAGATTACCTGAGCTATAGAGGCCTGGGGATTGCCCAGTAAGTTTTTGAATGAACGCTTGGAAATCCATTTGAGCTGATGAAAGAAGGAGGTGGTGTAGGTGATCTCCTTGAAGGCTGCGCCCTTCTTGCTTTTCTGACCCCCTGAGAGTTGATCTAACTCAACTTTCATTTCTCTGCAGAAGGTAGAGTTGCCATAAAACTCAGCTAACTTTTCTATGAGAGACATCTCTCCCTGGGAAGGCTCTTCAGTCTCGTTGGCTTTGGAATAAAAGTAGATAAAGAAGGGAAACATTATTAACAAAATAACAACTGATTTAGCTCATTTTCCTGTACCCCTTTCTTAGATTCTTCCCTAACATCTTAATTCTAAAACTTGAGTATAAAAAATTATTAGATCTCTCATTGCTTTATACTTTAAAAAAATATATAGTTAATTGGCCTACTTCCCATAAACTTATGGATACAGCAAACCCACTGAGCTTTTCCTAACTATATTTGGACCCTAATACTTTTAAAATAGACTTCTTACCATAGGGAGTTATAATTCCTAATATAAAAACCTAGGGGCCAGCCCCATGGCTTAGCGGTTAAGTGTGCGTGCTCCGCTACTGGCGGCCCGGGTTCAGATCCCGGGTGCGCACCGATGCACCGCTTGTCCCGCCGTGCTGAGGCAGCGTCCCACATACAGCAACTAAAAGGATGTGCAACTATGACATACAACTATCTACTGGGGCTTTGGAGAGAAAAAGGAGGAAAAAAAGGAGGAGGATTGGCAATAGACGTTAGCTCAGGGCCGGTCTTCCTCAGCAAAAAGAGGAGGATTGGCATGGATGTTAGCTCAGGGCTGATCTTCCTCACAAAAAAAAATAATAATAATAAATAAATAAATAAATAAAACCTAGCCCTTGCTTTCTTCTATGTCCAAATGCATAAATTGCCAAGTTTCTTATTTCAAAATACTATATTAAAAATGGGCATCTTTTTAAATGGAAACTCCCCTTAGAACTGACACTATCACATAAATGCTCATTTACAAATTAAATCAAAAACACAGCATTCACGAAAAACAAAATCTGTGTTGACTGGTGCTATAGACTGAATGCTTGTGTTCCCTCAAAATTCGTATGCTGAAAACTAACCCCCACTGTGATGCTATTTGAAGGCGGGCCCTTTGAGAGGTGATTAGGTCATGAGGGTGGAGCCCTCATGCATGGGATTAGTGCCCTTATCAAAGTGGCCAGAGAGCTCTTTGTGTCCCCCCTTCCACCATGTGAGGAGGCAATGAGAAGACGGCCGTCTACGAACCAGGAAGTGGCCCCCAACTAGACATCAAATCTGCTGGCGCCTTGATCTTGGACTTCCCAGCCTCCAGAACTGTGAGAAATAAGTGTTTGTCCTTTAAGCCACCTAGACTATGGTATTTTTGTTACAGCAGCCTGAAAGGACTAAAACAACTGGTATCAAAGGACAGCACTAAGATAAATTCAAAGCCACATTTTAATGAGCTACCACATTGCTGAACTCCAGCCAGTTCAATTAGGCAATAATCTGTGACTCAACAGATTCACATACCTTTATCATCTTGGTCCTCTCTGTTTAATCTCACAGCAGAGGAGTCTCCATTAATGACATCCAGGAAGAAGTCTGCAGGGTTATTATAGGGCTCACACTGGTAACCTACAAAAGAAGGCAACTCAAGTACACAAAACTTGAAAATCCTGGAAACTACAGAGGACTTACTTTCAGAGAGTGAGGGAGGTGAGGCTAGAAGAGACCGACTCTAACAACTTCTCCCTCATCTTCTTTCTCTCTTTTTCCCTCACTAATTTACCCTTTCTTTTTATATATTCAATCACACAGCATCTCAACCACTATCTCCCAGCAAAAAAATATACTCCAAACCAACCTTGGACTCTCAGAAAGTCTTATGTTAGTGATTGGTCCTTACCCATCATAATTCACAAGACCTGAAACAGCTATCAACATGCTCTGGTGCTTATCCGAAATTCTTCAAAACTCTAAATATCGGTCCAAGAAAAAAAAATACAGGTTGAAAAATAAAAGTGGTAGCTAGGACCAATGCTCCTCAAAGCAAGGCAACAAGCAAAGCCAGCTAAGGCACAGCAGGCCTGTGACTGGGAGAGGCCTGGTGTGTTCTGTTGTCTGAGGTCACCTAGGGACTGCCAGAATGCCAATACCCATTCCAGCAATAGTTGCTTCTCTACCTACTAAATTCCAGTCCAAATTATCAGCTTTTTTGCTGCTGTAATTCCAACACAGAGACTAAATCACCAGAGCGGCATTCTCAAGAGAATGTGACGAGCATGGCACACCTGAAAGCTTACCTCTACTTCTAGCGGCATGATCATCTGAACTCAACGTGGCCTGTAGTTTGACTCTAAGAATCATCTCCCCTAGACTCCCTAGACCCATGTATACTTGATTATTTTAAATGATAGATTAAACAAAAACAAATTAAGAAAGATAGCTAGTGAATATTGTAAACTATATTTGGGGTCATGGAGCATCATCTTTAACCATATCCACACAACTCTAACACGAAGCTGACTACATGAGTCAAAAAAAAATTACACCTTTCCATTTGAAATAGAACCAGGCAGTCCAGAACTGTCAGAAATGTGGGCCCATCAAAGTCAGACTTACAACTAGCCTATTCTATTGACTGGTAAATCACTCACACACACTCAAGTCCTAAATCTGCAACCTAGTATTACTAGAAAATTAAGTAGCATCTCCATGAACCCTCATCAAGATACACCAACATCCCATGCAAGGGAACAAAATGATAAAGCCTGATCTGTTATATGGTCAAGAAGACAAATGATTTGGGGGTATTAGGCCTTTCCAAAAATGTTCAACCAACAAATAACTGGCTATGAAGCCAATATATTTATTGAACTGTTAGGAAAAGGTCACCAGAACTGGGAAGCAGAACAGATATAGGCCCAGTAGAAACACTCATACACACACAAGCATGCATACTCAAATAGGAAAGGAAAGAGACCTAAATAACAAGCCAGTGCTGCAAAATGAAAAAAAATTCTAGCACCAAACTGACCAAAGATGTTTTGGAGTGATGGAACTCATGGTATGTTTTACTCAAAGACCAAACAGCACTCCCATCAACCCCCTTTGTTCTCTTTCAGGACCCTATTAATGAAAGACCTTACTGCACAAAAAACTCAATCATACCAGCTGATGCAAAGTACTCCAAGGCCTCCTGAGCAGGCCCATGGAACATCAGTCTTCCTGAGGCCAATAAGGTGAGGCTATCAAATAACTTGAAGATGGAATAACGAGGCTGATGAATGGAGAAGATGATCGTTCGTCCCTGTTTAGACATCCTAAGTTAAAAGTGAGAAAAAAACAAGTCATTAAACATCTGAAACTTGGACTTCTTGGCAAAATACTTTATTCCTGCTTTTATAATTTTTTCCTGCTTCAACTTGATTACCTCTTACTAACTCCTTATCTCATATTATCTAATTGATAGTTAGGGGACCTAAATTCAATGCTTTTATTCAAGTAAAGGGCTTCTTAAAATGTGTTGCATGGACAGTCTAGAATCAACTAGAACATTAATTAAAACTGCAGATTCTTGGACAGTTTTTCTTAGACCTACTGGGTCCAGGGAACCCATTTTTTTTTTTTCAGGAAGATTCACCCTGAGCTAACATCTGTGCCAATCTTCCTCCATTTTGTTTGTGGGTCGCTGCCACAGCATGGCCGCTGACGAATAGGTTCACACCCAAGAACCGAATCCAGGCTGCCAAAGTGGAGCACATCAAACTTAACCACTAAGCCTCGGGGCCGGCCCCTAGGCAATCCATATTTTGTGTGTGTGTGTGTGTGTGTGTGTGTGTGAGGAAGATCAGCCCTGAGCTAACATCCATGCCAATCCTCCTCTTTTTGCTGAGGAAGACTGGCCCTGGGCTAACATCTGTGCCCATCTTCCTCCACTTTATATGGGACGCCGCCACAGCATGGTCTGACAAGCGGTGCATCAGTGCGCGCCCGGGATCCAAACCAAAGCCGCCAGCAGCGGAGTGCGCGCACTTAACCACTATGCCACGGCGCCGGCCCCTAGGCAATCCATCTTTTTAACAAACACCCAGGTAACCTGTAAATACACACAAGTCTAAGAACTTATTATAGACTAAATATTAAAACAATGGCCGTATGCCCCATTCTCATTGATCGTTTAAGTCTTCTGGTTCTTCAGGAATTAGTATTCATTCTTCTGTCCTAATAATACAATTAACATCACTGAGTACTTACTATGTTTTTGCTAAATACTTTATAGATAACCTCATATAAATTTTCACAATACTTTCCCAAGGCAGTACCAATATTATCATTAGATATTATTACCTTCATTTTATAGGTAAAGCTTAGAGGGTTAAGCAACTGACCCAAAGTTTCACAGTTAATAAGGGGCAGGGCTGAGATTTGATCCCTGGTCTAATTTCACGGCCAAAACTTTGCTCAACTATCTTTACATAGGAGTTACTACTTACAGGCAGAAGAAACAAAGGCCAAAATCACTGTTTAAAAAGTGTTGTTGTTGAAAATATTTTATGAGAAAAATCACATCAATTTAAGCATTTTCTAAGCACATACTATATGCTAGCAGCGTGTACAAGTTTGTTGTGCCTCAAAGAGCATCAGGCCAGTACAGCAATCATTTCAACACAATGTGGAACAGAAGTAGCTGAGGGTTCCCTGTAAGCAAAATAGGAGACTATAACCCAGTCTGTAGATGATGTAAGTAGAGTGCTGGCGAGTAAGAAGAGAAAGGATAGTCCAGGTGGAGGAACACGGCGAACAAAGTGTGCGATAACAAGGTCTACTGAGGAAACTACACGTAGTTCAGTGTCACTGCAGAGCCGAGGTGTACATGAGGGTGCTGGGGCTGCAGGAGAGGGAAGAAGTTAACATAAGATACTGCAGCAAAAACCAAGCCCATGATGAATCCCTTCACTCAGAACTAGAAGTTTAGTCAGCAGGCGATAAGGAGCCAGTCAAGCACTAGCAGCAGGGAAGGGGACTGGTGTGAGAACCTTGCTAGTCTAAGTGCGGTCTTAGGACCAATGGCATCAGTATGACATCTCCTACCAGAAACGGAGAATCTTGGGCTTCACCTCAGAGGTATAGAAACAGACTCTGCATTTTAACGAGACCCCAGGGATTAGTGTACACAGTGGAGCTTGAAAAGGACTAGGTTAGAGCTCTCCAGCATGAGGAAAGATGCTTGTGTGCTAACTAGTCCAAAACATAATGAACCATAGTCCAGTATTCCATATCAATTCATCCTTCTCTAATGAACATTGTTAAGATAGTCACAGGTAATAAAAATATCATGGATGTGTTCCCTAACTGAACCTGAACCCCAGACCTATTACTTGGCATCTTCACTTGTATGTGCAACTGGCATCTCAAATGTTAACATATCTAAAATCTTAGACATCTTCCCATCTTCCCATTTTTTCTCATCCTCGCATAGAGACTTGCTTACGAGGGAACGGGCATCAAAGTAAGCAAGGTAACGATAAGGAGGGGAAGCCATATGAAGGCGGTGTGTCTGGCAGCTTTTAAAAAATGGGGTAAGGTGGGGGGTGGGGGGGGTTCCCAGAGGTGGTGGGCAGAGGGAATGGCCAGAGTGATTGGGAGAGTGGTACACTGAACAATTAAGTTAGCTCACTGAGCAAGTAAGTAAATATATTGAGATAATCAGAGCCAAGTTTCTCACTGTCTGAAAAGTCATTTACAAACATGGAAAGGGCAAAGACTAAAAAGAATGCTCAAGTGTTAGACTAGAATTGCAAATATTATTATGAACTCATGGGTTTTTTAACATACACATACTAACAGAAAAAGCAGCAGTTACAGCTGTATGTTGACGTCTGTCATTCTATTCAAACTATATATATGTATATACATACAATATATTCAATATGGTTCCAATTCCATATATTTCCAAATTCCATATATTTCCAAATAAAATATAGAAATATATTTCTATGTTATATAAACACTCATACACATGCACACACACGTACACGTGTATTTCCTGTGTCTATCTGCTAAGAGGGTCTAAGCAATGACACTCCATTAGCAACAAGCACACTAAGTAACCAGATCTTGGTTTCTAAATTGCAACTACACCAGAAGGAACCAGGATGATGCAGGAAAAGTACAAGACCAGCCCGGAACATCTTGTTGAGCATAAAGTAAAGAAATGCTTGAAGAATGATTAGACATGCCAAAAGGACACAAAAGCCAGATTGAAGGGTGTTCCACTGGCCAAATTAGGGTTAATTTATCATAAAATAAATAAGAATATTAGGGCTGGCCCGGTGGCATAGTGGTTAAGTTCGCATGCTCCGCTTCAGTGGCCCAGGGTTCCTGGGTTCGGATCCTGGCCATGGACCTATGCACCACTTATCAAGCCATGCTGTGGCAGCGTCCCATATAAAGTAGAGGAAGATTGGCACAGATGTTAGCCCAGGGCCAATCTTCCTCAGCAAAAAGAGGAGGACTGGCAACAGATGTTAGCTCAGGGCTAATCTTCCTCACCAAAATAAAAAAATAAAAATAACAGATTATAACCCACTGAATAAAATAAGAATATGAGTAAATATAAATGAATAGAGAAACAGGAAATCTTCCTTACAGTAGAATGCCAACTAACATACGTAAAAAGAATGATGGCAATAGAAAATCACCACTGGGCCGGCCCCGTGGCTTAGCGGTGGAGTGCGAGCGCTCCGCTGCTGGCAGCCTGGGGTTCGGGTCCCGGGCTCGCACCGACGTACCGCTTCTCCGGCCATGCTAAGGCCGCGTCCCACATACAGCAACTAGAAGGATGTGCAACTATGACATACAACTATCTACTGGCGCTTTGGGGGAAAAAAAACAAAAAAAGGAAAATCACCACTTGGCAACCATCACACTAGTAGCTCATACAGGCAGGAGTTGTTAACATATGCTAAAACTGGTGGGTGGAGATTTGACGAGGAACAGGATATTGACATAATATCCGATTATCTCCTCCAACAAAATACTAATCAACTACAAAGGGAAAAATAGTTATTTCACAGCAGAGAAACCTAGCAGACACCAACATGACCAGGTGATGAAGGCTAATATCACCCATGGTGGGAGGAGCCAAAATCATGCAGCCCCTGATGTCATGCACCGAGAAGAACACAGCATCGTTTCTGTGTTATGCCTGCCAAGGATTCATGGCCTGAGTCTGGTCATAAGGAAACACTGGAGGGACCCCAGGTTGAGGGTCACCCTATGAAATGTATTCTTGAAAATGGACAAGGAGATGAGAGGCAGGGAAAGACTAAATGTTCAGGATTGGAAAAAACTGAAAAGGAATGTTTCTGGAGAGGATTCTGAACCAGAAAGGAAAAGAGGACGCTGCTGGGACAGCTGGTGAAGGTTTACTGGAGCCTGTGGGTTAGATGGTGGCAAGGGCATCAACGTTGACTTTCTGGCTGGGAGGTATGTAAGGTGGTAACGTAGGAAGAGTGTCCGTTTTTTGGAGTTTCCCTCCAGAATATTTAGGGGTGATGGGGCACGATGTCAGAAAAAGCCTATGTAGGGGGGAAGGGACAGAGGGAAAGCAAATGCAGTTAAATGATAACAGTTGAGGAATCTAGGAGAGGGGACATGGGATTTCTTTGTACTACTCTTGTAACTTTCCTGTAAGGTTGAAAATTTTATAAATTAAAAAGATATCCAAAACATAACTTTTGCAATTCCTCCTATAAATATGTTCCTTCCACTGACGTCTCTTTTGATAAAAGGAAATACCATTCCTTTTACTCCTTTCTTCCATTTTTCAAGCCCCAAATCTTAGAATTCATTCTCTCAATAATCAAACCCCACGATCAATTCATGAGCTAATCCTATTGGTTCTGTCTTCAAAATAGATCTAGAATCCACCCACTTCTCACCACCTCACCACTACCATCCTAGTCAAAGCCAACATCATATCTCAGCTAGTTACCACAGCCTCCTGACTGGTTTCCTCGCACTCACCTTTGCCCAATTATACACTCTTCCTTACACAGCTGTCACTCCTCTGTTCTAAAACTCGCTAAAAGTTTCTCAAGTCACCTAAAGACAGTAAAAGCCATAGTTCTTACAGTGGCCTACAAAAAGCCTATATAATCTGCCACCCACTCAATTCCATCTCATGTCCTATTCTTTTTTTGTGTGTGTGTGAGGAAGATCAGCCCTGAGCTAACATCCATGCCCATCCTCCTCTTTTTGCTGAGGAAGACCAGCCCTGAGCTAAGATCTACTGCCAGTCCTCCTCCTTTTGGTTTTTTTTTTTCCCTTTTTCTCCCCAAAGCCCCCATAGATAGTTGTATGTCATAGTTGCACATCCTTCTAGTTGCTGTATGTGGGACGCCGCCTCAGCATGGCCAGACAAGCGGTGCATCGGTGCGTACCCGGATCCAAACCCGGGCCACAAGTAGCGGAGCGCACGCACTTAACTGCTAAGCCACGGGGCCGGCCCCTCATGTCCTATTCTAAATGCTACGGACTGAAGAATTGTGTCCTCCCCCAGGTTCATGTGTTGAAGTCCTAAGCCCCAGTACCTCAGAAAGTGACTGTATATGGAGGCAGGATCTTTAAAGAGGTAATTAAGGTTAAATAAGGTCATATAGATGGACTTTAATCCAATAAGGACTAGTGTTCTTATAAGAAGAGGAGATCAGGACACAGACACACCAAGGGAGGATTAAGTAAAGACACAAGGAGAAGAAGTTACCTATAAGCCAAAGACAGAGGCCTCAGAAGACACCTTGATCTTGAACTTCTAGCCTCCAAGAGTGTGAAAAAAATAAGTTACTGTTGTTGAAGCCACCCAGTTTGTGGAACTTTGTTATGGCAGCCCAAGCGAACTAATATACTAACCAACCTCTATCCCCTTAGGTCGCTGGCTCCAGTCCCTGTGGCCTCTTTGATGTTCCAAACACATCAGGCATACTCTGCCTCAGGGCCACCGGCTAGTCCCTCCAACTACAACTCTCTTCTCCCAGATGTCCAGGTCTTGCTCACTTGCTCCCAGCTCAAACAGCACGTCACTGAGGTCTTCCCTGACACCTTACCAGGGAGGCGGCACCCCTGTCCCCATCACGGCTGTCTGCCCCACACTCTTACCCGCTTCATTTTTCTTCAAACACTTTGCCAATTGACTGTTTCCCTCCAACAAAGAAAGAAGAAATTTTTGTCTGTTGTGCTCACTGCTGAATCCCCTGCACCCAAGCATAATATCTGGTCCAAGCAGGTGATCAGATACTGGATGAATAAAAGAATAATGTTCCCAGAGCATTTACCTCTTCAGGAGCAAAAGGACAGCATTCGCTGTGCTGGAGTCTAAGCCAGTTGTGGGCTCGTCCAGGAACAAGACGGAGGGATCAGTAATAAGCTCCATTCCAATACTAGTCCTTTTCCTTTCTCCTCCAGACACACCACGGATAAACTGAGTTCCAACCTAAAACACAAATATTATTATCATTATCAATAATGCAATATTATTAACAATAGTAACCACAGCCACTATCGTCTCCTAACATGTGCCAGCCCTGCAGGAGGCACTTTATCTCATTATCCTCACTTATTCTGAACAGCAAATAAATGAGTACCTCGGAGAACAGACGTGGGTTTCTCTTTAATTAGATGAGTAAACTGAGGCTCAGGTCAGAGCTGGTAAGTGGCTAAGCCTGATCTGAAATCCATGTTTTTAACAGTTCTATATGTTCCTTATCAAGACAAATATTTAGTTATAAGACAGTTAAGTTAGAACTTCAAGATATGGCACTGACATAGTAAAATCATAGTCCAAAAAGGGAGATAAAGATAGGAAAGGAAAAGGTGACAGCACCTATAATTTACTAGTCTTCTGACATCCTCCTTTTCTCCCACCAAAAAAAGTCCTCAAGTGGACTTACAGCATGTCAACTTAAAAGGCAAATTCACCAGTTGTTTTACCCTCAAAACGAATTTATTTGGGAATGGCCAAAAGAACTACAATTTGTGATGTGCATACTATGGCAAGCCATCGGCAAATCCAGAAAACAAAGGAGGGGAGCTTGCTTTTACAGAGACAAAGGGAAAGGGTGGGGCTACTCGAAAGTCCATCATGGGGAAGTAACAGTTCAGGGAGGCAATGGCTCCTCACTGGCTGAGCTGCAGCTTTTCTCATTGGCTAGGCTGTTGGCAGATGGGGAAGGAAATCTTCCTTCAGTAGTAGAGAAGCTGTCTCTTCCTGTTTGGTGTGACTGACCATGTACCATAGGGCGTGAGAGCTCCCCTTACAGGCCTTCCCGACTCTGATTTAGTTAAGGTTTTTTAGATGAATTTCCACAAAGAAAAGCTTGGGCTTGGCAGCTAGGCAAGCTTACTTTCTACCATATCACATTAGCACCTCTTAAATCATCATAAGGCTTTCCAAATTGACCCTGTCTATACCTTAACTCATGGGCCAGCCCCGTGGCTTAGCGGTTAAGTGCGCACGCTCCGCTGCTGGCGGCCCGGGTTCGGATCCCGGGCGCGCACCGGCGCACCGCTTCTCCGGCCATGCTGAGGCCGTGTCCCATATACAGCAACTGGAAGGATGTGCAGCTATGACATACAACTATCTACTGGGGCTTTGGGGGAAAATAAATAAAATCTATACCTTAACTCACCAAAGAATTCCTGAACTCATCCTTTCAAATTCAGAAGGCAGAATATTCTACAGGGCAACTGGCCTAGTCTTTTCAACCAGTCAGTGTCTCTGTGTGGTGGGGGAACCAGAAAGGTTTTGGGGGAGGGAGGAGATAGGAAACAATTATTATCTCTTCCAAGACTCTTTAATATTAAGAATTAAATGCTACTCATGCCCTTGATTAGATCCGATAACAATTGAGCTGTAATGGACATTTTAGAGACAATTAGGAAAAGTGAATGAATATGGTCTCGACATAGCTGATATTAAGATACTGTTAATTTTGTTGATAATGGTACTGTGGTAATGTAGGCAAATGTCCTTATTTTTTTTAAAGATGCATAATAAGTACTCAGGTGAAATACAATATTTATAACTTTCTTTAAAATAATTCAGAAAGAAAAAGCTGAAGCCATTATGGGATAAGCTGTTAACAATCAGGAAATCTAGATGAATGTTATTAAGTAATCATACCATTATATTAATTATACTACAGTCATATATTACTACAGTAATCAGACTATGCTCTACATGTCTGTTATGTTTAAAATTTCTTAAAAAGTAAAAATTTTTAAGTGTATTGTTTCAATCAATTAGATACATCAATTCTAAGAAGTCAACTATGCCTTCAGCTTATTTTCCCTGGAAACCCACAGAAGGAACTTAGGACGGTGACTGCCTAGTGGTAAGGAAGTTTTACCTAAAGGCAAAGAATGGAAAGTACCTTCCTGGAAAGACAAAATCAAATAAACAGCTTCAAAGCAAAGGGAACCCAATCACTCAAGAAACAAAAATAAGTGGTAAATGGTGGAATCTCAGAGTTATTCTTTCAAACAAAATACAACAAAACACACTTTACATCAAAGACTTTACATCAAAGACTGTCAGAAGGTATCATATGAAGAAGCAAAGCACCCAGCAGAATTCCTTCATTCTTCATTACCTTTCAGTAAGGGACCTCACAGGAGATTAAACTATAGCCATCACAATTTAAAAAGTTCATCTTCACCCACAGCTTCAAATGCCTTCCCAGCAAATCTTTCATTCCTGTTCATCAACTGTCAAGTTCACTCATTCATCTCATTTCTTCTTCCTGATCATGCACAACCCACAAAAGGACTTACTTTTGTCTCTCTTGCCCACAGCTGATATTTATAAAATCTAAAAGAGCCCAACACATGACAGTCTGCAAGTAAATACTGGCAGAAGAAAGGGAGAGGGGGATGGGAGACAAAGTGCCAAAAGAAAAGCTAGAGAAACAACTTGGAAGCTACACAAATTAGAAATAAACCCCAATCTGACTGAATATAATTCTGGAAGCTGAATTACAGCAAAGTAAAATATACAGAGCAAGAATACTTGGATTTACATCATTTATCAATTCCAGAAATATACCTCAAAAGCAATGGAACAAAGTCCCCTGGAGGAAGAGAGGAAGAAGAGTTAGAAGGGGAAAAGAAAACAGGAAGAAGGAAAGTTAGTGTAAGGACCCTGAACAAAACAGGACAAACACTAGGGTGCGGAAGGATCAAGAGCTGTAACCATGGAAAGGGCCACATGTTCTGTGCGAAGGACACTGTGACATACTAGTCCACACTGCCACACTTCATTTCCAGGATTCAATCATTTTTAGATTTTTTTACCTGGTTATTTTCCACCTTCACATCATGAAACTAGTCACTTTTCTCGTCGCCGACTTTTGACCACACACATTATAGACAACTTCTGAATACGAGTTACACCATCCACCCAGGTGAGCTCCTATTTGCTGATTAGGAGACCATCAGTTTTTTCCACATTACCTTGGAATCTGCCACTTTTTCCAGACCTAACTCTTGAATGATCTTGTTAATCCGTTCATTTTTTTCATGATTCGTCATAGTTGTTGGAAGCCGAAGAGCTGCTGAGAACTGTAAATTTTCTCTCACCGTCAGAGTCCCCATCACGACATCATCCTTGAGGCAAAATGGCATTTTAATAAGACAGATCAGGTCTTTTCTAGTACCATCACTGTTTAGTATATGTAACTTAATCCACAAAAATAACATATTCAAGGTAAAGTTTTAGCTAATGATGAACTTGCAATTATACAAATTACAGTAACTCTATATACAGACAGCTGCAAATCCTGATGGAATAATTTTCATTCCCCACCTCTACACCCAAATAGAACATAGATAATTATGACTACTACTAGCAGACATTTCCAGACTGCCTTATACAAGAATTTGCCAAAACCTTTCTAAGCTAGAAAGGAGAGAGGTGAAGGTAGGGCAAAAAAGTAAAATAGTAGTATCTTTTGGAAATGATATGATAATTAGAATTGATATCATTGCCCTTACAAGGGTCATATCCCAGGCCTTTTCATTTAACACTACTCTGCATCTTATAGAGATGACAAAAAGCTGGTGTAAAGAAAGTTGATTCTATGAGCATGGCATGTAACCAACTGGAAGCACAATGAACTATCAGCCAAGGCACCTGTCCATCTAGTAACAAGAAATCTAAAATGCAAGTCCTGGGCCGGCCCCGTGGCTTAGCGGCTGGGTGCGTGTGCTCCGCTGCTGGCGGCCCGGGTTCAGATCCCGGGTGCACACCAACGCACCGCTTGTCCGGCCATGCTGAGGCCGCGTCCCACATACAGCAACTAGAAGGATGTGCAGCTATGACATACCACTATCTACTGGAGCTTTGGGGGAGAAAAATAAATAAATAAATAAAATTATATTTAAAAAATATAAGTAAATAAATAAAATGCAAATCCATGAATACTTACTTGTACCACATAACCTGAATTACATTTGAAATTGGCAGGTCGAACTGCTCCATTTATCAAGACATCTCCAGACAGTCCATGTGGATCTTTCCTTGCAGCTAAGACATCTAACAATCTGTAAAAGGACATATACATTGTTTTTTCTCCAACTGACGCTATACCTCTCAGCTACTCTGAACCCAAATTCTGCTCGTTAGAAAATTAACTGATCAAGAAATCCTATGGTTTAATTAAAATTATATATATTTTTAAATTCTCACCTCTCTTTTTTTAACTCTATGCTACAATAAAGCCTAGAAACATAAAAGCAAGGCACTGTTGGCTGATCCACTACAGATCTCGCAAACTGCCCTCCCCTGTCTGACTTCAGGGGTCCCAAGTCAGGCAATACACTCCTTTGTCTAAGACTGAAGACTTCACTTATGCCTTTGGCTCCATCTCCCCACTTTGAATTTTATCCTCTTCCTTTTCCTCCCCATTAGCTCAAATCATAGCCAACAGCTCTATGCCAATCACTTTATCATGTCCTCTTAGTAAAGCTGACCGAATGGGACTTCCTGGTCCTCGGGGCCGGCCCAGTGGCACAAGCAGTTAAGTGCGCGCGCTCCACTGCAGCGGCCTGGGGTTCGCTGGTTCGGATCCCAGGCACGCACCGATGTACCACTTGGCAAGCCATGCTGTGGCAGCGTCCCATATAAAGTAGAGGAAGATGGGCACGGATGTTAGCCCAGGGCCAGTCTTCCTCAGCAAAAAGAGGAGGATTGGCATTGGATGTTAGCTCAGGGCTGGTCTTCCTCACAAAAAACAAAAAGACTTCCTGGTCCTCAACACAACCACAAACTAGCACAACTGCATGCTGTTATCCACAGCACCTAGAACCAGATTCGACACACATCAAATGCTCAACAAATACCTGCTCCTGTAAAAGTGATCTTGAAAAGCACATTAAAATTGCAAAGAAAAGGCTTACTTATGCTCTCTGTTATACTCACGAAGATTTGCCTCCACCTGTGGGTCCCAGAATGGCGTTGAGGCCAGGTCTCATGATCCCACTGTAAATAGAGAAACATACCGATTTACTGGCCCACTTTAAAACTAGTTCTATTAATTTAGAGTCTACATTTAACACACTCAATGAAAGTTGATGAAATTAGACAGAAAACAAGCACAAACCAACTCTTAAAGGAAACAGAAACCGAACTATCAATTAATATTAGTCTAGTATACAAAGGACATTATCACTAGTCAGAACCTATAAGAAAAATGGTTTGTGTCCCTCAAAATTCCTTTCAGTTATTCTCTAATCCACTTACATTTTTTGGAAAAGGACATACAAACTTTCAAGGCTCCTTGAAGTAACCTTCTGGTAAAGCATCTTTACACTTACTCCTCTTAACACAGTGTGAAGTGCATCACAGGTCTCAAGTAATGTTACCTTCAAGGCACCTCATCTGCTACCTAGTAAAGTTCTACACAATTAATAAATCAATGGATTTCTAGAGTCGCCAGCAGTAGTGTTCTCACTGCTCAAATCTAGTCAGACCAAGAAACAACATGCCTGAAGTAGAAATTCAATGGCTACAATAAAGTACCTCAAGGTTAAAAAGAAAACATCACCAGTTCTTAACCCTCACAAAATTCTTAATTCAATTAAAAAAGTAAAACATAGCATTTTCTTCCTCGTAAAGTGTCAGATAAGTGGACCAGAAAATTCTCAGTTTAGAAGTGGGAGACACCACTTTCTACAGAGAACAACCTTTAAGGATATACAGACATGGTGTAGACAAAGCATGTTCCAAACAAACTAAGTAGATGTTTGAGAGTAGTGAATATTGAGATAGAGAGCAGGAAGGTAGAAAAAGTTAAGGCAGTGTTAACTGTGCTGAGACTCAAGAAGAAATTGGAGAGTTTGAATTTTATCCTGAAGGTACCTGGTAGAATGGTAAGGAGAGTGGAGTGGAGGAAGGAGAATTAAGGGTGGAGCTACTGCAGCTCCACAGGCGTAATGAAATGGAGGCCTGAGGAAGCCCTTTCAGAACGCGGGGGCCTAAACCCAATCTCTCTTTGGAATTGGTAGGTATATCAAAATTTAGTCCACAGAGAAAACAGTATCTATTCCAAGTGGAAGGTCCAAAGCCAAAGGCTATTTCATTCCCAGATAATGATTTTCACAGATGGAAATACTATGATCATATAATTGTTGTGAGTGATAGACACACTTCACAACACACCTGTGTACTGCAGGTCATGCAGGAGGACCTCTGCGTTGACTAACCATTGTGCTTGAATTGTCACAACTGTAAAATGGCTGGTGGGTGCTAGGGTGAAATGTACCTTTCACTTTGCTCACTAACTGAGGTGCCTCTCACCGAAACCCTGGACAAATACAATGAGTTAGGGCAACCAGGAACAAGCTGCAGAACAGAAAATCTCTTATTCTTTTAGTGACGACCTCCCCTCTCCCCCACCTCCACCCCGGTAAAAAGACATGCTAATGGTTGGGTGAACGTTCAAGATGCATTTACCTATAACTCTTGATGCATCTTCTTTACTAATAGCTACCTAGTAACTGCTTCTAAAATGACCAGAAATAAGCTTGTTATTATTATACTAAGATTTCATTGTCAGAAAACCTTTCTAGGTTTTTTAAATATTCTCTCAAATAAAGACCAAGCAATCCTAAATGATAAACCCAAAACCGAATGTGAACGTTCTAAGACAAAGAATTTTACAGCTCCCTGGGTTGGGCTTACTTTGACACTAAACCCAGCATTACAGAAAACAACAACAATGTGCAATCACAAATGCCAGAGTTCCAGTTTGGAGCAGTCACTAATTCCCCCTCCATTCATTCAGACTCTTCCAGGTCATGAGGCAGAGCTAAGAAGAAAACAAACAAACAAACAAACAAAGCACTACACCTCATGGAATTTACATTCTAGACCAGGGATCAGCAAACTACAGCTGGTCACCTGTCTTCTGTTTCCACAAACAAAGTGTTATTGGAACAGAGCCACACTCATTCACTACGTCTATGGCTGTTTCACACTACAACAACAGAGTTGAGTAGTTGCAACACACAGGTATGGCCCATAAAACTAAAAATATTTACTATCATGCCCTTTACAGAAAAAGTTTGCTGACCTATGTTCTAGTCTAAGGTGTACAGTTCCCTTGTTTCCCCACTCCACCCCACCCTACCCTCCACTCTACTATCATTCCTCAAAACCCATTCTCCACCCTTATTTACTGCTTTACAGCACTTTCGTGCAAGAGAGTCTCCTTCACTGTACTGTAAAATCTTGTCAACAAGAATTGCGTCATCGCAGCACACTGGTCTACAGCGGGTGGAGCACTGAATAGTGAATACATGAAATGAAACCCAGCCACAGGATTCATGTCACACCTGTTACATTTTAGTAGATAATGGTTAATCCTTTGGTCTCGTTTTATGGACAAGAAATCAATGCCATTCCCACTGCTTGGAGCACAGCCCCTCCCCACGCCCTGCCCTACACACACACGCACACACACACACACACAATCCTCACTTTCTCTCTCGCCATGCCCCTGGCTCTCCAATTTAGGGTTAGGATCTTCCACGCTGTCTTCTAATCCCTCCATCACAGCAGAACGACATAATGAAGTGCTCTAGTTGTCTGAATCCCCCATTAGACTAGAAAGTTTCTGAGAACAGAGGACATATCTGTGTCACCAGCATCTTGCACAATGTCAGGCACCTAGTAAGACATTCAAAACTTGTTGAATAAATGAGTCTCTATATTTTTATAAATGACAATTAATTATAGGAAAACCAAAAAAAAAGGTTTTCAATAAAAACAAACGTCAAGAAGTAGGAAAAACTTATGGAAAATAGGTATAGTCTGACCAGAAAGAAAACTTCGTTACATTCCCCACTCATTATTTCATGTTCACATAATACACCAATCATTACTTTAGACTTCCCCTTCCCTTCTTAGTGCGAAGGTGAATGGACGTGCCGGGCGGAGGTGCAGCAACAGCCAGCACCCAGGAACAGAGGCTGCCAAGGGAGGCGGGAGGAAGAGAGGAGTCAGCCGGAGGGTGGGGAGATTGCTTATATTAAGGAGTAAGAAAACTCATTGAGCAAATCAATAAGTATATTAAGGATAATAATAGCCAGATGTTCACTTTTTGAGATGTTTAACAAACATGGAAATGTGGAAAAAAACCGTAGGGTGTTAGACTGGAATTGGAGGAATTAATGAGAAGTCCTGGGTTTTAATCTATATATACAGATAGATATAGAAAGTTTTAGATATACATATATGCACATGCGTGTACATATATACATACATATGATCCCTAGGTCTGTTCACTGAGAAGCCCAGAAGCTATGATATCTCAATAGCAATGAACATTCCAAACACCCAGATCTTGGTTTATAAATACAAAACTCCACAAAAAAGAATATCAGCTGAGTCCAGGTCTGAGGCAGGATAAGTATACAGGGAGTCTGGAACTTCTTGCTGTGCCAACAAAATATTCAAAGAATGAGAGACTATGTCAAAAGAATGAGTTTAAAAAAACAAAACACAGAACCTACCTTGAAAGGGTCTCCCACTGACCAAATCAGGAACAACAGGAGTATCAAGATGAATAATGCATTACTATTGAATGCTATTGAATAAAATACGAATCCATGAGTCTATACTATATAAATAAATTAATGAAGAGACGATGAATGAAGCTTTTTACTTTTAGTAGAATGCAAACCAACCCATATAGAAGAGATGGATGAAAACACAAAATCACCCTTTGGTAACTATCATAGTGTCAGTTACTGATTCAGGCAGGAGTCATCAATAGGGACTGAAGCTGGTAGGTTGAGGTTTAATGAGGAATAGGGTTTTGAATAACGTCAGAGTATCTCCCCTCATAATATTTATCAATTATGAAGGGGAAAATGGTGACACTATGGTGGAGGAGGCTGGCAGACACCACCATGACCAGGTGATCAAGGTTAACATCACCTGGAGTGGGACAGGAAAACACTAGGTTAGATGAGACTGAGGAGGCATGATGTGGTGTTCAGCCAACTATGTGAAAAGCATGGTTGACCTACGGCCCCTTAGGACCCACCACTGCATCCAATATGAGGCCATGCTTCCCTTGGGCTGTTCCCAGACAATGACCGAGCAGTTATATAAGAGCCGCTCTGGAAACTGTACACTGGAGGAGTTAGAGATACTGGAGCACCATATGGACAGCCTGCTCTCAAATTGTTTAGAAAAATACTAATGGCAATAGAGACAAAATGACGAGCAAATGTAATGAAATGTTAATAGGTGGGGAATCTGGGTGAAAGGGTTATGTTCCCACAGGTGTAAGTTTGAAATTATTTCAAAATAAATTAATTTAAAAAATCCCCAAATAGTATAATGAATTTCCTTGAAGATTATAGGATATCCACACAGTTCCTGGAATGGACCATTTTTCCCACAGATCTTCAGCATTAGTGAGGAAAAGCTCAAATGCTGGGTATGGAGAAAAACTAAGCATAACAGAAAGATTGTTCACAAGGTAGTAAAATCTCACTTTTTTTGAATTCTCATAGTCAGATTTTATTTTACCTTCTTCTCCCCACAGAGAACAGCAGATTCTAGTTAACAGAGTTCTACAAATGAGATTACAAATATCCAAAGGAAAAACAAAAATCAAGATTCTCATCAGCTTTTTTGGAAGATAGTCACTATTTTGAATGGTGATAGTGCTATCAAACACAAATAAAAAAATAATATAAATGAAAGCAACCTTTCTCCCATCCTAGAAACTCTACTTAGTTGAAGCCAGCAGGTAGGAGAAAGATTAGAAATGCTACATTAAAAAAAAGGATGACCTGGGGCCAGCCCTGTGGCGTAGTAGTTAAGTTCAGCCCACTCTGCTTCAGCAGCCCAGGTTCGCGGGTTCGGACCTTGGGCGCGCACTTACACCACTCGTCAGCCATGCTGTGGCAGCGACCCACATAGAAAGTGGAGGCAGCCTGGCACAGATGTTAGCTCAGTGCTAATCTTCCTCAAGCAAAAAAAGAGGAAGATTGGCAACAGAGTTAGGTCAGGGCGAATCTTCCTCAGCAAAAAAAAAAGAGGAGGATGACCTTTCTCACAGATGCCTAAACCAGAAATGTGAATAAGCAAGAAAATCCTGGTGGCCTTTTAACTATAAATTTTAAAGAATTACAAGATTTGACTGAGTTTTTATGAATCCAGGAACACCTCTAAGGATGAACTCATCTGTTGCTGAAATGCAGGTGACTGAACCATAAAACATTATGAAGCCTTGAGCAGATGATGCTTTTAGTGTATCAAGTTACTGATCTACTAGCTTTAAAACTAAGAAAGATAAATGTACCTTTGCACAGTACTGTATGCATTTTAAATCTATATCAACCTGCACATATTCAAATCATTTGCTACCTTCACTTAACACAAAATCTGAAGTGACCAACATTTTCTTGATTATTATGTTCCACAAAAAACTTGTCAGCTTTCAATTATACACAATAGCCAAAACTTGGAAGCAACCTAAGTGCCCATCAACATATGAATGGATAAAGAACATGTGGTACATACATATAATGGAATACTGCTCAGCCATAAAAAAGATGAAATCTTGCCATTTGTGACAACATGGATGGACCTTGAGGGTATTATGCTAAGCAAAACAGTCAGATGGAGAGAGCCAAATATCATATGATTTCACTCATATGTAGAAGATAAACAAACAAAGAAACACATAGATACAGATAACAGATTGGTGGTTAACAGAGGGGAATGGGGAGGGGAAGGGCAAAAGGGGTAAAAGGGCACATGTGTACAGTGATGGATGGCAACTAGACTTGCTGGTGAACACAATGAAGTCTATACAGAAGTTGAAATATAATAATATACACTTGAAATTTATATAATGTTATAAACCAATGTGACCTCAATAAAATAAATTTTAAAAATTTAAAAATTTATAAAAATATAAAACTTGTCAGCTTTCAGAAAGGTTAGTCTATTCTACCTAGGCATGTAGCAAAAGATAAAAGCTTTGCATCTACCATTCCTCTCATCAGGAATAAGTCAATCTCCTAGTCAGGGTTTCTCAACTATTAACACAAGAAAGCAACAAGGAAGGAGGCATGACAGTAAGGTGTTACTGCACGGAGCAAGTTCTATCTAATGCTACACAGCATCTGACCTCACCACAACTCAATCAATCTCAGATCTCCATCATTTTCTTCCCCACTCACAGTCAAAAATTTCCCCCCCATTTGTCATTTCCTAGCCCTCTGGGAGCCGTTGGCTACTGGCAACAGGAAAGACCACAGTCCCATATAATGCATGAAGAAAACATGAGAAACATCTGATTCCATAAAGGTTTGCAGCCGTACCTAGCCAAAAGGCTCTTTTATAACCACTCCTCCAGTCTTGGAGAGCCAGAAAAAGCTGCTTGTTTTGCCTAGGAGTAATTATTTCCCCGATTAAACAAACAAAATAACAAAACACATAGGCCACGCTGTCTGAGCAAACCGAGATTCACTCCCCACTCCAGAGAGTAAGAACCAAGCTCAATTCTCTAGAAATCAGAAAAACATTAACAGCCCTAATGGCTATCATCTACGAAAGAACAGAGATATCTGGTACCAAGCAGATTCTATATAAATACTCACTCCCCTCCCCACTCTACTGCCCACCCACCATCACGTGATGAATCATTGCTAGATGAAGATAAGGAAAATTATAACTTTGTACTGATTTTGATTCTAAAATATAATTAAATATATTGGATCCTAAAATTCTCTTAGCACTTTGTTTTTTTTTGTTGTTGTTGTTGTTTTTTTTAAGATTTTATTTATTTATTTTCTCCCCCCAAAGCCCCAGTAAATAGTTGTATGTCATAGCTGCACATCCTTCTAGTTGCTGTATGTGGGACTCGGCCTCAGGATGGACGGAGAAGTGGTGCCTCGGTGGGCACCCGGGGTCCGAACCCCGGGCCACCAGCATCGGAGCACGTGCACTTAACCACCAAGCCATGAGGCCGGCCCTCTCTTAGCACTTTGGACTTCAACTGCATAACTTAAGCTAAGCTATAACTGTCTTGTGTTTAAATAATTTCTGTCTGTCTCCATAATGGGGGAAAGCATTAAGTAAATTGCTATAGATTGTAAACTACTATATAAACAGGCCACTCACTTAAAACAAGTCTATTTGAAAACCAAAGTACTTTCACAATATATCGTCATTTCAACCGCCTGACTCTTGCTTCTAGAACACAAAGGACATAATGTGCATAAGTACCCAAAAGTGTCTGGCTCATAAGGTACAGTGGCAGATCTTCTATTTCACAGATTAGAAAACTGAAGTTCGGAGATTACAATTATATCCCCACAATCAAGAAGTAGTAAATCATACAGCCATGACTCTTTCCACTAAACCACAAGGCTTACTCAGGAAAAACTAAATGACACATTGTTTGGTTTCGCAAACAAAAGTTGATGCACCTGGCACAACCCCTTTAAAAACAGTTTGGCAGTTCCTTTAAAAGTTAAATATACACCTAACATGTGAGCCAACCATTTCACTCTGAGTTTACCCAAAAGAAACGAAAGCATGTGTCTGTATATTTGTACAGACTTATACACAAAAGTTCAGAGCACCTTTATTTGCGACGGGCAAAACCCATTAAGTTCACTGTTTGTCAATAAAGCTGTTTAAATAAAAATTCATGCACATACTTGACATTAGTTAGTATATTTTTCTCAACTGTTTTTCGACCAAGTAGAAAGCCACTCTTCACTTTTACTCGATAGCAGATGTTATGAAAAGATAACACAGCTCCTTCAGTAAACACCTTCACATCCTTGGAGGTCTTCTTGGGGAGACCATTGATGTTTCTTTGTGACATTGGGATAGAAACTTGGTCATTACTGGAAGACATCTGGAGAGATTCTGCCTTTCTGTAGAGGGAAAAGCAACAGTAAGCTGATAGTTCAGATAAATAAACGACATTGTAAACACTAGATTAACAGGACACTTAAAAAAAGTTATAAAAAATGGGGATGTAATGTACACCATGGTGACTGTAGTTAATAACACTGTGTTATATATTTGAAAGTTGCTAATAGAGCAGATCTTAAGTCTCATTACAAAGAAAGAAAAATTTGTAACTATGTGTGGTGATGGATGTTAACCAGACTTATTGTGGTGATCATTTCACAATATATGCAAATATTAAATCATTATGTTGTACACCTGAAACTAATGTTATATGTCAATTATTATATCAATAAAAAAATTAAAAGAGATCCAAATTAAAAAAAGAATGTAAAATACCCCATTAGCCATTTTTATATTGCTTACATGTTTAAGTAAAAATATTTTGCATATATTGGGTTCAATAAAATATATTATTAAAATTTTTAAAAAACAAGTCCTGGGGCCAGCCTGGTAGCATAGTGGTTAAGTTCGCATGCTCCACTTCGGCAGCCCGGGGTTCAAAGATTCGGATACCGGGCGTGGACCTATACACTGCTCATCAAGCCATGCTGTGGCAGTGTCCCATGTACAAAATAGAGGAAGATGGGCACAGATGTTAGCTCAGGGCTAATATTCCTCAAGAAAAAAGGGGAGGATTGGCAACAGATGTTAGCTCAGGACCCATCTTCCTCACCAAAAAAAAGAGTCCGTTTTAAACTGCACTGCAATAAACAGCTCTATTTCCAATGAACGGGCCATTTCACAGTGATAAGAACAACCTTGGAGCCTATATTAGGGAGGCAGACACAACTCTGAATACATAAACTCCAATTAGGTGTCAATTAAAGACCTAATAAGTAAATAGAAAGAGTACGAAAATTACTCAAAACTCATGAAGCAGGAAAAAGGTGAGTGGGAGTTAAACTTGTCTAGCTTGAAAAGCATATCACGATACAACTCAAGATCAGAGACAGACTACATGATCACCATCACCCTGTTTTTGTTTTTGTTTTTTTAATTTTGGAGTTTATGACATAGTTATTACAAAAAGGGGCTTAGCCGGGCAGTCAGGGACAAGAGAAATTTCTCTGAATTTACAGAGAAATTTCAGGCTTTACATCCCTGGTTATTATGCTCCTTCAATCAGCTAAGAAGATATACCCTAAAATTGTTTGGGATAACACATTTCCTTAATGGGCAAAATACTTAAATTCTAAGAAGATTTAGAATTAAGTATAAAAATGATTAAGAAAATCAAACCAATAGTTAAGCAATTAAAGAATTTAAAACAAAAACTGAGTATTAAATTTATAAATGAGGTTTAAAAGGTCTCATTAACCAAGTTACAAAAGTCCCCTTTAAAAGATTTAGAGTAAGACCTTAATGTGTACTTAAAAGCTTGTGAAAGAGGTGTGAAATGTGAAACTTCCATAAACCTAGTTTTAATTTTTAAAAACCAAAGTAATCCATGAAGAACTTTCTTTCTGGCTATGATGGAGTAGCTGTTTCAAACCCATCAGCCTCCCAAGAACAACTGTAAAAGTAGATACAATATAAGATTCAACTGTTTGAAGAGTTCTCTCTGATGAGAGCAACCAAAGCAGCCAGGATTTGAGGAGCCAAAATTCTGGAGAGGAGGGAACAACATGAAGGCAAACCCAGCATTCTGTGCCCTTTCCTCTCAAGGCAAATTGCACATGCCTGGGGCAAAACTCAGAAAAACAAGGCAGAAAGAACCTGCTAGAGGCTAAAAAGCTGAGCATATATTTCAGCAGTCTCTCAGCGCTAGGGAGACAAAATTTGGACTTGCGAACCTAACAAAGAGAAGGAGCCCTGGAAACCCCAAGCTTTGAGACCCCAGAAGGTCTATGTCCTAGGAATATGGCAACCCAGAAATAGACCAGCCTCTCCTCAATCAAAGTGATCCACTCATACCTTATTTGTCTGCTTGAAGAAAGTTAAATCCATTCTCAAAGACATCATCATCCAAATTTTCAATCAAAAATTACCAGGCATGGGGGCCAGCCCTGTGGCTTCGCGGTTAAGCGCATGCGCTCTGCTACTGGCGGCCCAGGTTCAGATCCTGGGTGCACACCGACCCACCGCTTCTCCGGCCATGCTGAGGCTGCGTCCCACATACAGCAACTAGAAGGATGTGCAACTATGACATACAACTATCTACTGGGGCTTTGGGGAGAAA